CTGCCCGTAAGCAATCTCCCAACTCATCTCTGGCGCCGTCCTTGGGGGCAAAAAACGGTGAAAGCTAACGTACGAAACCAGAGGGCAGCACAGGATGCTATCGCACGATCTTGCTCGTGAGCAATCTCCCAACTCATCTCTGATGCTGCCCGTGAGCAATCTCCCAACTCATCTCTGGTACTATTTCAACGATTACAACTGGCTGGATCAGGTTTCTATGTAGCCAATCAGTAATGAAGCAGAAAGTTATGCCTTTGACGCGCATGTTTGGTATTCAAAAAGTTGTATAGCTATTAAAATGATTCAGAACTATTAACAATTAGTACTGATTAGTACCTAGGTGACAGCGAAAAAGAGCAATGGATGAAAAACAGATAACGAATGAAATTGACGTGGCTAAACTGGACACGGCATTGCGAAAGATGATGCACGAACTACAATGGAAAACGGTGAATTTTAAAAATCATTAGAGACACTTTTCAGTAGAAAGATGTCTCAAAAAGTACTCTACTTTAAAAGGAATCCTCGAAAAATACTTCTTACTACTTTCAGAAGGCACTGGAAGAAATGCAAAACGAATTGACGAAAACGCGCCAGTCGGTGTACTGTTTGCAAACCACCATCGAGGACAAGTGCAGAGACTTAATGGATAAGGAAATTAAATTAAAATCGGTTATGGAACTTACAAATCAGTTAGGAGAAGAAAACAGAAGATGTCAAAATGAGAAAACAGAATTACAGATAAAGTGTGACAGAGCTTTACGAGAGCAAGTCATGTTGCTCAATCAGGCCAGAATCGCTAACATGGAAAATATTGAATTGAAGCAGAAGTTGCAAAATCTAGAAATGGATGTAGATAATAAAGGAGCCGTCATGAAAGATCTTGTACAGTCACTGCACGAAGTTGAAAAAGCTTCAAATAATATACATGCAGCTATAGAAATGTATTGTCACATGTCCAATATTTTTTGCATCCTTAAGAATTTATAAATGAACAAATATATATATATATTCGATCAATTTAATTTCAGTAAATTTCTTAAGTTAGAGAGAGAACATAAGGAACTTCGTAAAACTTGTGCTGCGATAAAAGAAACGAACAATCGCTTGCAAGCATTGGGTCTAAGCACCCATGCTATTCATCAGAAAGACAAAGCAAATATAGAAGAATTACACAAGAAGCTAAGTAAGTTGGAAGCCGAATCACGGATCAATTCAATAAATGTTGAAGAGCAGAGCGTTATTTCGACTGTATGTAGGTCTTAATTCTGTTACTTATTTAATTGCACATGAATAGAACTATTGAGATAATAATATACTCTTGCTTTAATCCATTATTATAGATGAAGAAGAATGCAGCAGAGTTTAAGGTACAATTAGAAAACAGCAAAGAAGTTGATAAGAAATTAAATGATATGTTTGAGGAGTTAAAAAACCTGAAGCCATATACATTTTAAAATGAATGACATTCACAGGGCGTAACGAAAACTAAACATGTATAGCAAATAGGACATATACAAAATTTATGTTGATACATTGCAAAACACAGTGCAATTAGTTCGACGATTCAGCGACAGTTAGAGAGTAGGACCATTACAGGGTGAGATATCTGGCGATAGGATCGTTGTAATAAACGTTCACACACACGCGCACATATAGGATTATTACAAAATGTATTATTATAGTCGTTTGTATACTCCAGTCCAAGTTGAAACAAGTTCAAAGATTAAAATGCTAAGTCGATAAGGATACGCAAAACGCGGCTTTAACAAGCAAATAATAGTGATCTGTTTTTCTTCATTATATAGGTCCACTGTACATAAATTCAGTTTCGTTACTTAATATAAATCTTTCGTGATGGAACCTTTTGGTATACATTTACTGACATAACAGAGATAGTTACACCTCTAAAGAAAATAATGTCTGAATCGTGTAATAACTTTTCTTCAGTTTACCATCGTCGATGCGTCTGTCACAATTTTTGTTGCTTTAATTAATATTTAATGCGCTAACATATTTTCATTGTTCTCTTGTTACCTCCGTGGAAAAGCTATCGAGTAATAACAATATAAAAATGATTGTGGTCTCTGTGGTACATGGCCTTAATTAATGAGTCCTCATACATGGTTCTTGTGTATTCTTGTATTCAATGTGTGGTGATGTACGTAGCAATATTGACAGGACAAGCGCCGTTTTCGTTGGAACGCAAATACGCTTATTTTATCGTCTCTTAAAAATTTTCTTTGTATGATCAATGTCGTACAACCTGTATTTGTATCCCATGTACAATTATTCTTTCTCAAAACAATACCATCCGATGCTTAGCATCAAAAATAGGTCAGGGGAGAAACGATCGACATAAGCAATTAGGGCCAAGTCCGCGCTGCATAGGCTGTATTTTCTTTGAAGTAAAATATATATATATATCAATTAAATTTTATTGTTTAATTCGATGGTATATCACATTGAAATTTAAATCTGTCAATCCGCCAGAGCCCTGATTCGTACCTACTCGTGTAAAAAATGTTACTCAATATATATGTGTATATATATATTGTTACTACTACTACTACTACTATTATTATCATTATTATTATGAAAGTATTCAAATTCCCTCCTTACTTACAACAGTTGGGCTACATAAATGGTTCATTTTAAAAAGCAATATAACGTTTTTATAAATACGTACTGTAAATTCATTGAAACCATATTGCGTTGTAACAGATTCAGCCTATGGCTCTGACAGTTCCTCCCCTTGTATTTCCAGTAGGAAAACGTTGGATGTCGACAATTTGTAAAAACACCACCCATATAACAAAAAGAATCCATTGTCAAGGAGTAAAGTCACAGAGCCCGATAATGAGCACATTGATAGCCTCGGCGAACAGAAATTTTGTCCGACGAAAAGAACGTAAATAGACGGTAATCATACAGGAATAAATCTTGTTACAAAGTTGATTGCAGTTGAGGGGTCAGAGTATGGAACAGCGGGCAAGCCAACTCGGAGGTTTCCTCTGAGGTTCTAAAGCCTTTAATTGGTGGCCACCTCCTTTAGGTGGATTTGAGGCCTCCTACACAGAACAAAGTAAATTAATTCATGTACCGTTATATTTATGATTGTCGTATATTCCTTAGTTTCACTCATACATTAATACCAAAACTAAACATTTAATGATTAAAATGGTTATTTTTAAACAAATAACACCCTTAAAAAAATTATTTAAAATTCCATTAATCAGTAACTTTTCTGATATTGAACAGAGTTGTGTTTAGTAAATAACGAAAGTGAGTATTCTATGTAGCGTATTCATTTTACATTAATCGTATTAGTTAAATGAAATAGATATTAAATTTCTAAAGAATAAAATAAGTTTCTGATACAATCATTTTTATCACAGTTCCTTAAAATTGTAGAATTCAAAATGCAAAGCATCTAATAGGTTGAAATATTTTAGTTTTGTTTATGTACATCACATATGCGACAAATTCCTTTAACAGTTCCTATTTAAATAGCAAAATAATTAATTAATTACAAGTCCCAGAAAAATTTATTCTATTTATTGAGTTTTTACGAAATTATTCCATGCGTCGCTTATTTAACCGAACCCTTACACTAAACATCTACTTTCTAGCTTTCTAAGAAAGTTAAAATGTTAGTAATGCAATAACAGTTTTATAGGAGAGTTACCTTCTGCCAAGATAGACCCGCACCAAACACATAGAAAGAGGCATGGGAAACAGAGAAACAATAGTTACTAGATGTGAATTACAGATGGAATAATCCATTACAGTTATAAACATTGCAATTTCAATGTTATTCTAAAAAATATTTAAAAGAACTATATGAACCATTAAGCAAGAGTTAAATTACTTTACAAAAAGAAAGTGAGAATGCATGAGACCCTTCACCACAAATGATCCAGATAGATTCAAGTCAAGGTAAAAAGTCATTGATTGAGAATGACGATACAAACATATTTAGAGTACAAATAAAGCATTGGTCTATGGTGAACAAAATTTGTATACTAAGTTAAAGCTAACTATAACTAATTTGAGTTTGAAAATACTCACCAATTTCTTTTCCATTTTTGCTTTGATATCACGAGCTAAAGTATAAAAAGCATCCTCGACGTTGATGCTAGACTTTGCTGATGTCTCCATAAACTTAATACCATACTCGATGGCTAACTGTTCTCCTCTTTCCTTAGAAACTTGTCTCCTTTCAGTAAGTTCACATTTATTACCTAGAAGCATCTTCTCAACATCTGAAGATGCATTTTCTTCGATATTGCGAATCCAGTTCTTGATGTTTTCAAAACTTTTTTCATTGGTGACGTCATATACCAACATAATACCCATCGCACCCCGATAATACGCCGTTGTTATCGTGCGAAACCTCTCCTGCCCAGCTGTGTCCCTATAAGGGAATTAAGCATCACTTTTACATCCCGTCACTTAACATTAAAGTAAATTCATTGCCATTGAAAATATCGGCATAAGCTTTGGTCCTACGACGATCTATCAATTCTTACCATATCTGTAACTTAATTTTCTTTCCATCCAACTCGATTGTGCGAATCTTAAAATCAATTCCTGCAAAGTGAAAGAAGCTGTGTCACTTGATGAAAAGCTCGCAATAACAAAAGACTGTCTCTCTCTCTCTCTCTCTCTCTTTTTCTTGAGGAACAGGTCCCTTTGAAACCAAGGAAAGTGAGAACAAGGAGAGGCAGTATGAAGAAAAAGAAACACGAAGGACAAAGGAGCAAAACAAACCGCAGAGTAGCATCAAGCGCAAAGTGCGCGTTTACTCTTGGCTTTACATAAGACATTTGGGATTCTTTAATGAAATTTTTAGGTTAGGTCAACGCGAGAAGGATAAATATCCGTCGGAGAAGAGAATATAGGTTACGCAGCGAGGCTGAAGATAGCTCGCGAACAACGTAGTCTTTGTCCCGACGTATGTAGAAACTTTTCTACGCGAGAGAACGGCGAATATTGGAGACACACCCTAAGGGTAACTCAGGACGCTCCTGACGCATTCGATAATTCGTTGAAAAGTAACAAGGGAGATGACCAATTATCGGGCTTAGTAATGCGCACCAAGACGTACCGATGGTGGAGATGAAGGTCGTGTTGAATGCATCCTCCGAGAATCTAAACAATACACACGTCTTCCCCACACCCGAGTCACCGATCAGTAGTAACTTAAATAAATAGTCATAGGTCTTTGCCATCTTCACGGAGATTGCAACCGTGCGATGTTATATATTATTTGATCGTCACTACACTACTGGCACCCTTGCCCGGATGTTTCGTACCACCTTCCTATATTATATTTCCTCTGCTCTTGTGGTGGTGGTGGTGATGATGGTGCCAAAGACAGCTGGTTCCGAAATCCGAGTCCTTTAGGGACTACTTCAACTCTCGCGAGTTCCGGGCATTTGCGACCCTTTTCACCTCCCGATGCTTCGCTTAAACTCCCGAGATATTCCGAGGACGTCGCTTCACCGGCTAGCGCTCAAGGAGTTGCCCCTTGGACCGGTTAACAGAGCGAGCTGATGGCGCGAAACATCTGTCAGAAGAAGCGATGACAGGCACGGACGGCCATTCGACACTCGGCACCGCGATTTTTTCCCGTTCGAGTGGCAACCCTGCCGCGGTCTCGTGGGCGCAGGTTGGGGGTTCACTGAGCGCGTCGGGTGTCATACATAACGCGGTTTGTCAACGCATCAAGGGCAAAGAACCAATCAGAACTGCGACGGAAATGACGTAGAGGTTAAGCACAGTTTTGATTGGTTGTGCATCCGCGACGCTTAACGCGTCGCGTTCTATGTGACACGCGACCCAGTAGGACTCCGGTAACAGACGCGAATCGCAGAAAACGAGAAGTTTTTCTCCCGACTACGATTAACGGAATTTTCAGTTGTGCCTTGTCACGATGCTTAATGTTTGATCGTTAAATATTTAAAGCTCTATAAAGACAATTCAATGTATTGCAAGTCTTACCTTTTACTGTGTTATCACGCGTTCGAAGAGCTATTTTATTTAACTTCTGAGTTGGGTGAGAAACCGCTCCATCTAGAGGGTAGAAGTGTAATTAAATATATGTTTCCACATAAGTTACATTAATGATATAAAAATTTATATTTTTAATGAAGGGTAATAAACTGAGAAAAAATATCTAAGTTTATAACGGGATATGCAAGTAGGAGGCTTCTAGTTAAAAGGACATTTCTAAAGATCCTGTATTGAAGAATGTATTGCAAGCTCGGATTGCAAGAGACACATCTATCAAACCAGATCAAACCTATCTTTACTCAAATACTAAAGGCACATGTGTTTCACATCCCTTTGTACAAGTAATCTATGACTTGTCTGTCGTCTTCCCACGTGGAGTGCTACTTAAATCCCCCTCTACATCAATTTTCTCAATCAATTTTTCGTTTGACTTTGCGAATCAAAAGTACGATACAGCAGTTATATATGCGCTGTTTGCATTTTTGCAGATAAGTATTACGTATATCAGCACGGTGGCTGTTAAGACCGCAACTGTGTAGTTTCATCATTTAAAGCATGGTTGACACAAAAACTGATGAAAATGGCAGTGAAAGTGTACCCCCAAAAACTGCTAAGCAGTTGGAGAAAGAGGCTAAAAAATTGGCAAAATTAGAGAAATTTAAACAAAAACAAGGAAAAAAGGAATCAATCGTTTCTACCAAGCCAACAGAAAAGTCCGAGGTATATTCAATAATGTTCATATTTTAGTGCTTTTATATGTTAACTATATGGCTTTAATGGGCATTTCTTCCATATGGTATTTTTGTTAAGATTGGTGTAATATTTTATTAATGGCATTAAAAATGTATCTATTACATATAATTTGACTGATTACTATTGGAAGAATCGGTTCAAAGGTTTCGAGTGTAAAATCATGGAATCATTTGTTTGTGTTATATAGAAAAATGACAAGAAGAAGACAATTAAAGAATCCGCCTTATATAGTCAAACTATTATACCAGGAGAGAAAAAGGATATCACGTGCCCAATGCCAGATGCATATAGCCCTCAATATGTTGAGGCTGCATGGTACGACTGGTGGGAGAAAAATGGATTCTTTAAACCAGAATATGGTGTATGTAGTTTAAATTAATGATTGTCATATAATTACAGTAATTATCTATTAATTATCCAAGGGAATTCAATTTTATATACATGCATGTAATGTCATTTTGAAATTTTAGAGAAATTCTGTATCGGAAGAAAATCCAAAGGGCAAGTTCGTAATGGTAATTCCACCTCCAAATGTTACTGGTTATCTTCATTTAGGACATGCATTAACTAATGCTGTAGAAGATGCCATTACAAGATGGTAAATTAGACAGTTTTTAATTATAGTAACCCGATAGAAAAGTATTCATTGCTTTGTATTCAATGATTTAATTTTCATACAATTTAGGAACCGCATGAAGGGTCGTACAACTTTATGGAATCCAGGCTGTGATCATGCAGGAATTGCAACTCAAGTAGTTGTTGAAAAAAAGCTATGGAAAGAGGAACAGAAAACGCGTTATGATTTAGGACGTGAAAAATTTATAGAGAAGGTTTGGGGCTGGAAGCATGAGTAAGTTTACCATTATGGCAAAAGGTAGTCATTGATTTTACGATCGAATATCATAGATATAATATAAGAAAATACTGTTTTCTTGTAGGAAAGGAGATAGAATCTACTTACAGTTACGAAAATTAGGTAGTTCCTTCGATTGGGACCGTGCTTGCTTTACGATGGATCCTAAATTATGTCGAGCTGTAACAGAAGCATTCGTACGGCTGCATGAGGAAAATATTATTTATAGAAGTAATCGTCTTGTAAATTGGTGTTGCACACTAAAGAGTGCGATTTCAGATATTGAAGTAAGAAAACACTTACATTAAATGTAAACTTAATATAATATATCAATATTAATCAATTCTTTTACTTAGGTAGACAAGGTAGAATTACCTGGTAGGACTTTACTCTCTATCCCAGGATACAATGAAAAAGTAGAGTTTGGTGTCATCGTATTGTTTGCATATAAAATAGAAGAATCAGATGAGCAAATTATTGTGGCAACGACTAGAATCGAAACCATGTTGGGAGATACTGCTGTGGCAGTACATCCTACGGATGTTCGCTATTCACATTTAGTTGGGAAATATGTGAAACATCCCTTTTGTGACAGACGTGTACCAATCATCGCAGATGACTTTGTTGACATGGAATTTGGCACTGGTATGCAACAAAAAAGTGATATAATCTAAAAAGAAAACTAAATCAATTTGCCAATTCAAACAGGAGCTGTCAAGATAACACCTGCTCATGATCCAAATGACTATGAAGTAGGAAAACGACACAATTTGCCGTTTGTAACTATTTTCAATGAAGATGGAAATATAATTGGAAATTATGGAAAGTTTACGGTATCATATTTTAAATAATTTATCATGCGATATTTAATGGTAATTGAAGACATGATAATTATTACAACAATTTTTAATACAGGGAATGAAGAGGTTTCATGCTAGAAAGGCTGTCTTGAATGAGTTGAAGGAGAGAAATTTATTTATTGAAATAAAAGATAATCCTATGATTGTTCCCATTTGTAGCAGGTCTAAGGATGTGGTAGAACCTCTCATTAAACCTCAGTGGTAAAGAAAAAAATGATAATCTGATGATCCCACGAAATGAGTAGATTAAATATGAAATGGTTTGAACTTTGTTTTCACAGGTACATACGTTGTGATGATATGGCTAAACGTGCTACGGAAGCTGTACAAAGTGGAGAATTAAAAATAATTCCTGATCAACATAAGAAGACTTGGTATCGTTGGATGGATGGAATTAGAGATTGGTGTATCTCTCGACGTCAGTATCGCACTTGAATTATATTTTATTAATTTATTAATAATTAATAATTAATTGTAATTAATTTAATAGAGCTATGGTGGGGCCATCGTATACCTGCGTACTACATAACCGTGAATACTCTCTCGATGACGAATGGCGCGGTAATTTTATCTCATAATTACTATAATTCATATAAAAAAAAAAACTATGCAATTTTAATTACTAACTTGGCCAATTTACGGAATTTATTTATTTCTCAATGCATATTGATTTATCAGAAATCAGATGATGAATATTGGGTGAGCGGAAGAACTGAAGCTGAAGCTAGAGACAAAGCAGCTAAGAAGTTGGGTATAAGTCCAGATAAAATTACTCTCGAACAGGATCCTGACGTTTTGGATACATGGTTTTCATCCGCCCTGTTTCCCTTTTCCATATTCGGATGGCCCGATGATGTATGTAGAATTTATTATTCTTTAAACAAATTATACATATCTGTTCTCACATGTATATGCCTTTCGTGTATTACACTTTTAGACGGAGGAACTCAAAGCCTTTTATCCTGGCACTCTATTGGAAACTGGTCACGATATTTTATTCTTTTGGGTAGCGAGAATGGTGTTCCTTGGACAGAAGTTATTGGGAAAATTGCCGTTCAGGTAATCACTCATTTTAAACAATGTTCATAAGATCAAATAGGGAGAGCAAGTGAACGGAAATGTTTTATTTTATGCGTTTACCAGGGAAGTATATTTACATGCCATGGTGCGGGATGCTCATGGCAGGAAAATGAGTAAATCCTTGGGTAACGTTATCGATCCCATGGATGTAATCCGCGGAATTTCATTAGAGGTACGAATAAAAAAATATCGAGATGGTCAAAGATATATAAGACGATCTATTTCCGAAATGTAGCAGTAACATTAAAAATGTTTTCAGAATCTTCACAAACAACTTACGGAATCAAATTTAGACCCGAAGGAACTGAAACAGGCTATCGAAGGTCAGAAACAGGATTATCCTCAAGGGATTCCCGAATGCGGCACGGATGCATTGCGCTTTGCATTATGTGCTTACACGACTCAAGGTCGAGACATCAATCTCGATATTCTGCGCGTTCAAGGATACCGATTTTTCTGTAACAAGATCTGGAATGCAACTAAATTTGCTTTGATGTATCTGGGCAATGATTTCAAGTGCGATACTGATGTCGAAGAGGTAATGAACATCAAAATATGTATACATAATAACAGAGTGTTGTGATTGAAAATCGAATTAATTGATGCAGATAATATGACAAGAGATTATATCCCTTTCTGTACAATGGCATATAGACTTCTTGATATTTTCGTTTAACTTTTAGCGACCAAACTATAACGGGGAAATCGGGGAAGAAACCCCTTGGAGCCATGGTTGGTACGAGGAAACTTTGAAGGAGACGTTCGTCCAGGAAGCATTGGACAATTATTTAGCTGATTACCCTTACGTTGACGGCTACACGCCTTCCCAGGCGGATATTAAAATTCATGCAGTGTTGAGTGGATTGCATATTGATTTTACGCGGCTGCCGCACCTGCACCGTTGGCAAAAACACATCGCAACGTACAGCGAAGGAGAAAGATCTGCTTTCCGCGCGAAACAGGGCGGATTGCTATCTCAAAAGGGATGTAAATTAACCAGAGGTTGTATCGCGGGATTTCAGGTGAGCGGCTGTAAATAAACAGTTTAAAGTCTTTTCGTACGCGAGTTCGGCTTACCGTGAAGCCCTGCGATTTCCGAGTCCGATATAATGTCTCTTTACGCATAAACGTGCACGCGATTCATAAGTATACTTTGCATTTCAAATTCGTTGAAACGAGGTTCCCTTTGACGAAATAATGTAAAGAGGGGGGGAAAGAAATGCATCTGTATGCACACAAAAGTCGTGTTACCATTAGCTCTCAATCATTTCCCTTCGGTTGAGCTTATTGTTATTAACCATCCGAACGAACGTTTTAGCTGACTGGAAACGAGTCCAATATGGATTTATGGATGCTGTCGCGAGTAAGTAATGCTGCAAAAATTAGCGACGAAGGAATGGCTCAATACGATTTCCCGGCTGTTACAACGGCTTGCTATAATCTCTGGCTTTACGACCTGTGCGATGTTTATCTGGTTGGTATAACAATTATAAGGAATTTTTAGTTTCCTAAAATTCATATAGAATTCCATCTCTTGAATAAATATTATTACAAATTTCTTAGGAGTACCTGAAGCCGGTATTCCAAAGCGGGAGTGAAGAAAATAAACTAGCGGCCAAGCGAGTGCTGTTCAAAACTCTGGACGTTGGATTGCGTTTGTTAAGTCCGTTCATGCCGTTCATTACCGAAGAACTTTATCAACGTTTGCCTCGCATAAAACAGGTTTTCCCAAGCATTTGCGTGAGCCCATATCCGGATGTCCTGGAAGTAAAAACAACATTTTAACTATTAACTTAATTGTAATCGAAAATCGCAACTCAGTAATTAAGTACTCTTTTCTTTCTATTCTAGTGTTCGTGGAGGAATCAAGATATAGAAAATGATGTTGATTTTGCTCAAAAGATCATCAAAAGTGTTAGGTCGGCACGAGCGACGTATAACTTACAAAATAAAACAAAAAGCGAAGCGTATATTGTGTGTGCCGAGAAAGACACAGAGGACAGGATTAAAAAGTATTCGTCCATGATAGGGACACTCGCGTATTCAATAGTACATCTGGATAAAGCTCCGCCCCAGTGCTTAATTTTGACAATAACAGAGAAAGTGCAAGTACATCTTCTGTTAAAGGTAAACATACATTTACAAACAGATTGATCAAATATCTAAATATAAGAAATATAGAACGACAAAAATTATACATATAAAAAAATTTCGGCAGGGACTAATCGATCCTGAAAAGGAACTCGAAAAACTGGGGAAGAAGGAGATTCAGTTGAAGTCAACGATAAATAAATTGAAACAAGACATGTCCATCGCGGATTACGACATTAAGGTACCGGTTGATGTCCAGACAAGCAACACAGAAAAGCTGCTCAGTGCTACGGGTGAATTGCAACGATTAATTGAAGCGATGGAGGCTCTACGAACAATGCAATAGTGCTGTCATACCCTCTAGGTTCTTTAATTTTATTTATGTTTTCTAGAAGACTATTTATAGTTTCATACGTTTCACTCGAAGAACTCGCTCGAGACCTACTTTTTAATAAACAATGAATTTCCAGTAATTAATAGGTAACAACGGTAAAAGAAAGATATAGTTATAAAGGGTATACGTTATTTTCCTTGTTTTTTCATTGAAAGATTTCGTTGTCTACAGATTCTTAGCTTTGAGAAATACGTTAGATATCATCCCTGGATGGTACTCGGCTGGATATTTGGTTCGAAACTATTTATACAAGCTGTTGCTTTAAACAAATACAACGCGCTAACCTGACTAATAATTGTTTTAAGCATTTTGTAGGCGAGTCAGCGCGTTATGCCGTAGTCGTTCACTGGACGATCGTCATGGTTCCTCAGAGGGCGCCAGCTGGTGCTCCAATTTTCGACCGACTCGTGGCCTATTTATATAGACCGTCTTTAGAAATTTCTACCTGGTGAAGAAACGGTACTAAAATTGCACAAGTCGTGAGCCTCGGCTGAATTTCTCGCCGTATTTTCCCCGCGGAACAAAAATTCTCTGTTATCAAGACATCTGTATAGAACTAATGTTACTTAAGTTCTAATAGGTTTATTTTTTGCCCAGAAGACGTGATACCATAATGGGTTTAAGATTTCGCGGGGAATAACTAAAGTGACTCAAACTTTGAGTTTACGTATTTTCTATTCAACAGTGGAACTAGTTGGTCAATTGCTTTTTCCTTTGTCGAGTAAATGCGTTATTGCGTTTTCAATAAAAGCCGTAGTGAGTTTGTCGCGCGTTCTGCCGTACCGGCGCAGTTGCTTTCTCGAATGAATCGTGTTACTATAAATCTCGGTAGGTGGCGGCGGTGTAAATGTTTGAAAATCGCAGGAAAAAGGAACATGGTATATTCGATAAGTTTATAAATGAAAATGTCGACACATGCCTGAAAAAAGTCTCCCATGAAATGTTACATTCACATTTTTAAATTAAACAGGACTTTTCAGCATCTGTTTCGATGCACTACTAGGTTGTCGTTATGATCTAGTGTACCCACTTTGAGATCTTTTCCCATTTTATGTATTCAAATGATCGAGATCGCGTTATTATGATTTGTTTAAATTTTTAAAGAGGTTTTATTATTTAATAAGACTTAATAGCATGAAAGTGCCTGATAGTTGAAAAGTCTATGAATCATTGATCATTTTAATATGAAAACGAAGCACTTCCGTATCCTCATCGTTTCACAGTTAAATTTGATTCTTTTTTTACGCGGTATTTAAATTCCGACCCCAACACTTGGAAAATATGCAACTAGAATAATAATTATTGTTTTTAGCGAAAGGTAACGCGTCTTTCCGTAGCTTGTGTTTTACCATAGAACCCCTTTCAAAATCTTTTTTAATTGCAGCTTTTCAAGGCGTTAATGCAACAGTTTCGTACTCTCTTCAGCGAATCGCGCTGTGCTGTCTCGAAGTTAACGTCCACTGTCATTCTCTTTATGTTCCTATACCACCAAGAAATATACAAATATACTAAACTACCTAATAATTAATACCCATAAAAGGTATCTACCAGATATTAAATTTAATACTTAATATAAAATGTATACGGAAAAAATCCCCACTATGATATTAATTCATAAAAACTTCGCATATTCAGAGACTTGGAGGACGAGTTTCAGCCACCTCTTTGCATGTAGCGGTAACATTACCAGCGCAGCGTGATTTTTTATAAATCTCGTTGATAAAGAATGGAACTCACAAGCGACATCTATAAACAGAATCGTTCGTATAAACTTTCTCTACACCCGTTGTCATCTTCGGTGCGAAAGAGTACGGGACATAAGCGGCGAATGATGGGGTCCGTATTTTTGGCGAAAACGTCCATCCGCGTCTCGGCCGGAAACCCAGCGACCGAAAAAGGTCTTCCAAAGTCCTCGGCAGTCCTCGAGCTTTCGCCGGTGCTGCGTCGAAGTACTCCCATATACGTATTGCCTACGTCGTCCCCGTATTCCGGAATCCACCGTCAGCGTTCCCAGCGTTCGCTCTGTCTTCGTCGGATCTATGGAGATTAATAGAGACAAAACGTCCTCCTCGCTGGGAACTGATTCAGGAACGCTCGAGGAGAGCGTCCGACGAGTTGCTCGGTTAAAATTATAACCCGGGAAATATCACCGAGCGAAAATCTCCGCCAAAGTAGGAACTAGCTGCAGCCTCTCATTAAAACTCGATAAACTGTAGCGGTTAAACAAAATTCGTTAGCACCTGAAAAACGAGAAATATCAAAATATGCGCTTCCCTGTATTCGGATGACAAAATTCATTTTAAAGATTGGTAAACCGTCTCAAGGTGGATCGTTCGGGTCGACTGACGGATCGGTTCCGAGTCAGCGTTTCATTTTTCCAGGTCCTCGTCCTTGCTCATTCAGCGCAAGGACTTTCCACCTCGGGGATAAATTCTCGGTCTCACCCTCTCCTGGGCGCGCGCACCTACGCGTGCCCGAAATTACTTTTCCCGCTCGTCCCGACTCCATGGCCCTCCCAGGCATCCGCAGGAATCGGTCGCGCCGATTCGCCTCTCCCCTGAAACGAAAACGAAAGGTATGGTCCCCCGTTACGTCTCGTCGACGAGGAAGGACGAAACGGTATTTTTTTTTTCTTTTTTCTATACAGACCGTGGGTATCGACGTATAGGGGGCAGGGACTTTTTTTCTCCCTCGAGGAAGGCGAATGGGAGAACCGACCCAAGGATCGACGGGAAGACGTCGCGACGCCTCGGCGACGTCGCCGGTATCCTCCGAGACTCCCCTTCGAGAAGGCTCGAGCGAACCTCTTAGATCGTTTCCAAATGTTTCCCAGCGCAAAGTGTAACCTGATATTTCGAAAAACTCCGCGAATCGGCCGACTCGAAGCCAATAAATCGGGAGTTTTTGGTAGCATCGTGCGGCGTCACGCAGACCTCGGGATCACTTTGCGGATTTTCTCTCGACGGGAAACTGCGACGTGAAAGCCTCGCGAGGCCTTCGTGACGTTTCGATCCCTATCCGTTTCCTTCTATCCGTTGAGCGGTGTTCTCGCTCGCGATATGTCCGCGCCGCGGCGCCCCCTGTTGGGCCGAAGTGACGTCATCGCGCGGCCGATCGGCTGCGATCGGCGGCAAATTCGAGCGCCGGGACGAGACGTCGCGTCGACTCGAAGGTCGGTCGCGATCGTTTAAGCTACCGAGGACCAAACCACTATGGAGTTTCTTAGGGGCTAGGAATTTTTCGGGAAGGGGCATGGAAAATTCAACGGGAGCGAAATCGGCAAAAGGGGCACGGCGGTTCGATCGGGCGTTTATCGAGGGCGTTCGGCGTTTGGAGGGCGCCGGTCGTTCCGGGATCGCGATCGAGAGACGAGAGAGAAAGATGGCGGAGAAAAGAGAGCGCGAGGTGACCCGCGCTCGGGGACGAAGGGCATCGGCAAGGTTGCAAGGGTAAACGAGAATACGGGAGAGACCGAGAGGAAAGAGAAAAAGTGAGAAAGAGGGAACGGGGGAAGAGAGAGAGAGAACTCCGGCTCAAACTCCATCCGCCGGTAGAAAACAGTGAGGTTAGGTTCTGGAGGGCCGGCACAGAACCAGCGGTAGAGAGCGAGCAGAGGCAGACGAGAAGAGACGACCGCTTGAAATCCCTCCTTCCCGCCTTTCCTGCCTGCCTTGCCGCCCGTCCGCCATGCCACTACGAGCGGGCGAACGTACAGCTAGGCCGGCACGGTCCTGTAGCCCATTTGGCATTTCCCCAGCTATAGCGGCGGTCCTGTAGCCCATCGTTGTTATCGTCCCGCAGCTGCATAAAGTCGGGTCTCCCTCCCTTCACCCGGCACCTCCTCCCCGCCCACCCGACCCGCTCGTAGCCCCGCTACCCGCGACCCCGCGCCCAGAAACCCCCCACCGTCGACGGTGGCGCCGCCGGCGGGGACGCCTCGAACCGTTGCCGCTCTCCCCTCCCTCGGCGCGCCAGCCAGCCAGCCACGGCGATCCACGGCTCCGACCGCCTGAGCGGCCGTAGGAGAGAGACGGAACGATGGCCCGCACCTCCTGCGCCGACTCTCCGTCCTTCTCCTTCTATCGATTCCCTTTCCTCCTCGCGCCCCCCGAGCCCCCTGGTAACCTTGGTAGAGAATAACCCGCCGTTCAATTCAAGGAATTATGACGGCCCCTCGGCCCTCTCTTTCCCGCTCTCGCCGCAGCCGTAGCTGCTCCTCTCGTCTCCTCGTTTCTCGCCCTCTCTTTCTCTCTCTCTCTCTCTCTCCTCCCGTCTCCGGTGAGCGGTGCGCGCGCCCGAGCCCGCCCCCGCTCTGCTCCTTCTTTCGCTTTTCTCGCGTCTTCTTCCCCGCCCCCCTCTTCGGTCGCGACGCGACCCGCCCGGTATTTCCGCACGCCCGGTCGCGCGGTCGCCGGTCGCGTCGCCGCGGTGAGCCCGCGCCCGATTTTGTCCACCGACAAAATCCGCCAAGATGGAAGTGGGAGGCCCGACAGGCGGACGGGCGAAGGCGGCGGCGTTGTTTCGCAGCCCACCGCGAGATGGCGCCCTCGTCGGCTTATCTCGCTCTTGGCCACCGAAGCGTCTCGCGATTCCTCTTGTCGAAACGAGCGCAAATGTCGATTCACCTCGTCCCGATTGGACTAATGTAATTATTTCAATACCAAGATTCCCTTAAAAATCATATTTTGCTTTATAATCTCGAATTTTATATTAATATTCTTTCCGGATTATAGACATTTGGGAGTAATCGCCTAGGTTAAATAATTATGCAAACCCAAGTCCAAGTCGCGCCGCTAGAGACCACCTATAATGCCATTTTTAGATCGAAATAAACGCCGTTCGTCCTAGCGTTTATATTTATTTACGTTTACATTTATTCGTTGCCTTTGAGGAAAATTCATACGTTACTCCAACTCGTCCTGCTCTTGATTCACTTTTCTTATTTCCCTCTGTAGCACCTGTAGTGGGCTCAATTTAGCCTTGCGATACAAGCGATTCTGGTGAACGGTACAATTAATATGACGATCTCGTTGGGCCCACTTGGATCGATCCTTCCAAAGAGTTTTTTACGTCCGGCGTCTCGCCACCTTAGACCACTCATTGAAGAAAATCGTCCAACCCATTTGACGCCACTCGTTGAGTCGACATGAAACTTTATTCTGGTTAAGCATTCTATTATAATTAAGAGCGCATTAACGTTTTAGCAAAGTATCGCAGTCGATCTTTCCTAATAAATGCAATCGACAAACAGGGCGACGAAATATTAAGGGAAAAAGATATTTCCTTTCCATTGGATTGGCTGAAAATTTGCGCGACGCTAAGAACCAAATTAAAAAATTTATTCATATTTACTGAATCCCAACTTCAGTCAATATGTTCTCTATTTCTGTATACGACCTGTACCCCTCTTTTAGACAGCTTATCGACGCCTCTCAGAAAGTTTCCGTAGAACTTTGAAAATTAAAATATTAAGTGTTTCGAGACCTTTCTTATCCGAGCCGATACATCTGCTCGTCAAGAAATGAGATTGCATGCGTCTTTCGCACGGCCGTTCTCCGTTCGATATCGGTGAACAGTGCGCGGAGTCATTTTACTTGTACCCCGGAAAGTACCTCGAAGGACTTATTGGCACCGGTAATTGGCTCCAATGTCTGATTCCAATCGACCGATCAACCCTTTCCCGAGGGGGCATCCGGAGGACTTCTCTAGCCTCCTTCGAATCTCCCAATTTCGCCGAATTTTCTACGTCCAAACTTCCGAGGTCTTTCTACGTGATTACGTAGCAAATGAATTGTCGAGAAAGAGGTCTACGTGAATTTACCGACATAATTCGATTCGGGATAAATGTCACAGGGTGCGCCGGATGTCGCTGTCCTGCCGGATGTCCGGATTTTTTCTTTCGCCGAATTTTCTACGTCCAAACTTCCGAGGTCTTTCTACGTGATTACGTAGCCAATGAATTGTTGAGAAAGAGGTCTACGTGAATTTACCGACAAAATTCGGTTCGGGATAAATGTCACAGGGTGCGCTGGATGTCGCTGTCCTGCCGGATGTCCTGCTGGATCGGCTGCTTTCATCGGCTGCCTACGGGCGCGAATCCCAACCCGAAGATTTCCACTTCCGGTATATCCCCCTTGATGTGACCGTAATATAAACATCGGTCACTTGTTGAATGTCGGCTAAGTCGATGGACGAGGGACATTTGGAAACGGAGCGTCTTCCCGTTCTCCGCGGACAAGAACGCCGGCGCTCCTTAAAACACGACTTGCCGAGTCTTTTGTTATACCTTTTCCGGCGAGTCGTTCCTGGGAATTCCCGAAATATTCTGAAGAAAGATCGACGGAGGAAATTCGCGGTTGCGAGACTTACGCGTAAGCACCTCGAATATTTGCGTGTCCTTCGGAGTCGCGACCAGGTCTTGCGCGGTTATTTTTTTCCCTCGTTTGTTGAAGGGAGGCTCCTTGCACGCAAACGGAGACGTGGTTTGGTCTAGGGTTGTTGCGAATATTTCGTTTCGCTTTCACCTTATGCGGAGGTTTTGCGTCATTTAGACTTTTGCATTCGTAATGCACGAGTTTCTTTTTTTTTTCTTTCGCTTCCGTTCTTGTTTTAGGTGTAAGTATTTTTGTTACTTTAAACGCTTGGAAAGGATATCTGGTGTCGTTCTCGCCTCATGCGGGAGTTTCGCATTATTCGGATTATTTTCAATATAATTTCATTTTTTTCGTTCGCTTTTGATATAAGGATTTTCGTTATAATTTTGGTTTGGTCGCTGAGGTCCTAAATCGACGTCCTTATAATGACCATACCTAAAGAGACTAGATTTTGAAAATGGCCCCGGAGGACCGATCGAATGGAAAATGTGCTTCCAACGAAAGTTTTAAAAATCTCGAGGTCAATCCTTACTAATGACCTTAACGTCGATACTGAAACATCCTAACAAAAAAATGTAGAGGATGGACAATCGAGATTTTTGAATTTTTTCTTTTGCAGGAGCAAAACGTAAAATGTCTAGACAAGTATCAGGAGAAGAGGTAAAGGAGGACAAGGACATAGAACGCCGTAGTCGAGGAGGGTAGAGTTTGAAATAGGAGGAGGTCTGGTCACTTTATTAAATCCACCAGACCGCGTTCCGAGGGAAGTGTCATTCTTTCAATTCTCTTCAGATTTTACACCTAATCATTTTCATCCTTTTGTCACAAATAGGTTTAACATTTCAAATCATAACCCAGGACTTATCGGAAGCTCCTCGAGTTAGATGGAAAGGGAGCTTTTCGACCTGGGAGGTTTCGGTCCCGGTGCCGGTACTACCCTCTCGCAGTGCCGACTCCGGTCCGGACGGGTCCCAAACGGGTCCGGACCCGTAGAGCGGGCCCATTATCCCAAAAGGGCCCAGGAAATTCCTCGGGCCCCGAGACCCGCCACGACCGACGCAGGCCGCCGCATTACCGACCCGACTAAGCTTAGAGACTTTCGAAAAGATACCCGGCGTGTTATACCTGTCCCTAGCTCGAAACCTTCGGGATTTCGTGCCGGCACGAAAGCTGCTCGGCCACCGGGAGAAGGGAGTCCCGGTTTAGCCGAGAGCGCGAGGTCTCGTCTTTATGGGCATACCGAGGCTCCAGTGCCTCCTTAAAAGACGTCCGACGAATAATATATAAATACAATTTCATATACATATACAATTTGCCGAGTGATAAGAAACACTAAAGAAAATTCCATCACCTCGCGTGTCCTTTTTAAAACTGCATTCCATATCTAACGTTGAGAAGGAAACATTTCATCGAACCAGAGAAATATTTCATAGAACGGTCCCAATGAAATATTCTGATAATTCAAAGAGTAACCATTTCACTGAAATGAACTCATGAAAATTCTCGCGATTCTGAAGAAATTTTTCATCCAATTGTATTCCAGCTCGC